GATCTTCTAGGGGAGAAAGATTTACATTGGTTTTCTGCTTTCTCATGATGAATGGCTGTATTCTCCAGGTATTCTATTCCACTTTATCAGTTAGGATTATGTTGGCTGCATGGAACACAAAACCAGCCTTGGTAGCTTTTTGTAATAGAAATCGAATTTCCTCACATAACAAAAAGTTTGGAATTAAGCCATTCAGATGTTCTTGATGGATCTTTGCAGCTTTCTGCCCTGCTAACCCTAGATGGTGACTTCTTTGCCTCATGTTTGCAAAATGGCTGCATCATCTCCAGGCATTTCATCCATGTTTCTGACAAAAAAAGGAGGAGAAGAGGAAGAAGAAAGAATAAAGGGGCAAGGGCAAAAAGCCCTTAGTTTTTTTGGAGTTCTTACCCAGTATAATTCTGTTCCCATCTCCTTGGCTAGAACTGAGTCATCAGGACATTCCTAGTTGCAAAGGCGTCTGGGGAGATGAGAGTTTAAATTGAACACATTGCTACTCAGAAAATTCAGAGAGGAAAGGAACAGAAGAGAAAGGATCTGACTGGGGAACCAGCAGCGCCTGCCCCCTCCCCCGCCAAGTCCCTATAGCCCCACACATAGAGAATTCTGCTTTTATCCCCCAGTGTCAATGGCAAAATCTGGGTAGGGTGAAATCATGCAGGTCTTGTGAGTCAACAGCTACAATTCACTTAAATTCAACAAGTTATAAACAGGTCACCCTCCAAGACACTGGGGCTTGTAAGTGGAGAAAGATGCTGGCTCCAGTCAAGACCTATGCTAATAGACAATGGACACAGGCGATTTAACATAGTAAAGTTCAGACTGTGATATGTGCAATTACAGTAATAGAGACACAATGGGGTAAATGACAGCAAGAATGAGACAGCTTTAATTTCAGTAAGGTTGTATTTGAATGCAGCTTTTCAGGGTAGGTACGATTCTTATAAGTAGAATAGAAGGGAGAAGATGTTTCAAGCATCAAGACAAAACTGTATGAACAAAAGATTGAGGGCAAGGAAGCAGGCAGATAATCACCTGTGGCCCTTGGAATAACGTTTACAAGGATTGTGGCAGCAAGGGGGGATGGACAGGGAAGTAGGGCGTAGAGTGGGTTAGAAGATAAAGCAGGAGAGGTAGATGCATGTTGGATCATAAAGACTGAATGTCATGTTTAGGATGTGGACTTTAAAACTTGGAGGAAATAGGGAGCCATACTTGTGTTGTGGGACATAGTCCAACAAAGAGTTGATAAGAGGTGGACACGGGGAGACTGAAGCAGAGCCACCACTGGGAGGTTAGTACCGCAAAGGCCTGACCTAGAATAAAAGCACTTGAGATGGAAAGAGATACACTGGGGAGAGATGTGAGGGTGGCACCCATTTTTCTGGATGAAGAACTAGTTTGGGGACAGTGGTATTTACGAAGTCATGGAAGACATAGAAGGGGAGCACTGGGAGGCACAGGCTATACTTTGGATGTGGAGGACTCCCCAAAGGCCCTTGTATTCCCACGCAAAGGCTTGGTTCCCACCATAGCACTACTGGGAGGCAGTGGAACTGTTAAGAGGTGAGGCCTAATGGGAAGTCCTTAGGTCATGGAGCAATGCCCATGAAGGGGACAGTGGGGCTCCAGCTCCTTCTCATCTCTCTTTTGCTTCCTAGTTGCCATGAGGTGAACATCTTTGTTCTGTCACTTGTTCCTCACCATGATGTATGACCTTACCACAAGTCCAAAAGCAACAAGGACAACTGCCCATGGATTGGACCCTCCCAAACTTTGAGCCAACAGAACTGTTCTCTATATAATTTGATTTGCCTCGGGTATGCATCGTAGTAATAGAAAGCTGCTTAACACATCTGGGATGGACTCAGCATGACTAGTCCTGGAATTACTCGTCTGGGTCTGGGTCTCTGGAAGAGAGGACCAGGCTGACAAGGGGTCAGCAAGCCTAAGCGAGTGGCAAGACTGTGCTTGTGGATTAGATTGTTCAGGAACTCCACTAAGGGACGAAGGGCTAACACAGCTGTTTGAGGGACAGGCTGGAGGAATTTAAGAAAGAAGGGCAGGGAGGAAGGGAGAGGTCTGGGATCCATTTGGAAGTGAGCCAAGGAACTGGAAACTGCTGTGCCAGGGTCATGGCCTTGGCACAGTTAAGCTTGTACAATCAAGCCAGTGTGTGTGCAGACAAGGTAGCAGTCAGTGGACAGAATCTGCTCCCATCCTGTTGCCTGCACATCAGGATGAAACAGCATTTGGACAGCTTCCTGTGTCTATCTTGGAGAGTGACCTGCTAGGTGGGACCAGGTGTCCTCCGAGATTGTTAGTTGCTCCCCTTCAGTTCTCCCTGAGGGTCCTCCCTTCCACGTCTGAGGCTGTGTGACACAGGCACTGACTGCGGAAGAGCTACTTCTGTCCCAGCCCAGAGGACCCGGGATGAGTCCTCTCCTGGTGAGGGTTTAGCTGCTTGGCTCTAAGTTAGGCAGCTCAGAGCAAGTGTTCAAGCATGGAGCAGTCCTTATGCAACAGCTGTGCTGCTCTCCTGAGCCCAAGCCTGTCCTATAGCTCATTTTGGGTCATTTTGAGATGCAGAGGATTTTAGGAGTGGTTTCTGCCCTTTCTTGCCCTACTTTCACCACAGTTGTGCTCCCTTGGCTCAGCTTTCTCTGCTCCTTGGGCTTCTAGAGAAGCAAGGTCTTCAGGTAGGATACAGAACCCATTGCTCGGCTTCAGGTTAGCAGTGCTCTTTCCACAGCATTTTGAACCCTAACCACAGGGTCCTCCAGCAATATGCTGGGTCAGCCTCACCTCAATTCTTGCTTGCAACAGTTTTCTTGATGCTTTCAGTTGCTTCCCACTGCTGCAACAAGAATAAAAGAATAAAAAATCATGCAAGAACTGCCTGGCCTGGTGGATCTGCTTCCTTCTCCAGCTTGTCACCTCTGCTTGAGGACCACACTCGGGGGAAATTTCACAATGTATTCTTTCTGCCTCAGGATGTTTGCACGGGTTGTTCTGTTCCAGTATCAGAATCATTTCTCAGTTCTGTCTAGCATTCTAATTCATGGCTCTTTTACCTCAGTACCTTAGCACCCGTGGTCCCTTGGCTTGCTTCTCCAATACTACATCCTCAGGGCTCTGAACTATTTTAATTTATACTTATTCATGAGATCATTTGATAAATATCTATCTTTCCCATTAGTCAGAAGGGACCACATTTTCCCCCCTACTGTATCCTCATAACATGACCCGGGGTACAGTGAAGATTAGCTCCTCCATCCATAAATGTGTTTAAGGATGGAGCAGTTGGTGACTTCTTTAAACTCATGCCCACGGGGATGGATGTGTTTCTTCTTTCCCTGGAAGGGAACTGTAACTCCTTTTAGAATAAGCCAGTGTGTTGCTTTGTAATTGTAACATCCCGAATTCCTCCAACAGGACATCTGGATGGAACACAAAGCAACACTATTTGAAGCCAAGCCATGGCGATCCCTCATGCAGATTTTGCTCCTGCTGCTGCTGCAGCCCACCTGTCAGCAGTGTCAGGCAGAGGACCTGGGAAGTAGCTTGGCTGAACACTCTGCAATTCTCTGCCAGGAAAGGGTCTGAGTCAACAGGTGGCTCAGCTTTGGTGCCTTGACCCATTGGCCTTTCCTTCCTCAAACAGGCTTGCTTGCAAAGCCTCTGGTCAGTGTGTTCTTGCCAGTAGCTGTCCTCAAAAGCAACAGTGAAGTGGATAAAGGGAGGATTCAAGGACATTTGGAGGTATGAATCTACTTACCCAAGGATATGGGCTTAAAAATGTGATGTGTTTTCATCTTTTCTACCTGAAGCAGATAGAAAAGGGAATGGATAACTGTAACAAAGTCCTCAGTTTATATAGAGAAGTAAGGAACAGAAGGGTTGGGCGGTCTGTCTGAAATCACATGGATTAGCAAGATTTGAGCAAGACTTTGGTAAAAGAGCTTCAAGTGTCACAGGGACCCAAGTGACTTTGGGTCTGAGCCAGGGCAGTGGCCATTCAGCCCAAGTTTTGTGCTCAGGGGTCAATCTGTCCACCCCAGAGTATCCCTGAAGGAGCGATGGGTTTGTCAGTAGCCATTTAGTTTCTCTGTTGGCTCCAACACTATCTTAAATTCATGTGTTTCCTGCCTTGCCTTGGGGTTTTGAGACCTGACCATTTATTAAAATAAGTCAGTACAATGGGCCAGAGCTGGAAGGGAGCTCTTTATTACACCAATGAGAACACAGGCCCAGGACAGGGCTGGGTCTCTGCTGGCAGGGATTAGGGCTTGTCAGGATGTCCTTGAGGCCCTACCCAGACTTGGACAATCACAGTATCCCTCAACAGCTACTCTCCACCCTCAGCACACACCTTGCCTGGGACCTGGAAGCCTCCCTCATAGCAGAGCTTCCTTCCTACCAACCTGGTGGCCAGCCTTTGTGTTTTTTTGTTTTCTGCCGGTGCCTGACCTCAGTCCTTTCCTACAAACTCTGTTTCTAATGATAGAGTTGATTTATGAAGCACTTGCTGCGAGCCAAGCCTCCTAAGGCATCATTACCATTTTCCCAGGTGAGGAAATAAGACACTCCCAAGGTTAGGGCTTCCGGCTAAGATGTAAATCCCCAAACTCAAGTTTGTCATCTTAAATTTTGACTCCTGGGGACTGGACAGGTTAGAGGCAACGTGTACTACCTCCTGGTGGGGACAGAATTTGGGGGGTGCTGGAAAAGGGGGTTTTGAGCATCAAATATTTGGTTCCGGCGAGTCCTCGCCCCGAGGGCCTTACCTGGGTCTAGCTGAAAATGACAGCTATAACTAGGGCTGGCTCCTGCGCCCATTCATGCCGCTAGTGCATGCTCCCCTTAATTGCCAAGGCATCCAATTAACGTGGATTGTTGTGTCTGATGCTGGGTTTTATTTTCTCTTATTTTTCTGTGCCCCGAGTTTACTATTTCGGAGAGACACCAGCTTTGTCATTGTGTTTGTCTGGCTCCCTTCCCACCCTCACCGGAGGAAAAGCGAAGAGGAACAGCTGACTGCAAATCCGCTCCGGCGCCCGCGAGCCTCCTCGGCCGGGCAGCGGCTCCTGTTGCTTCTCGGAGCTCCGTTGCCCTTAGGGGAAATCTCCCGCGCGCCCGCTCGCCGGCGCCGAGGAGAAGAGGGCCGGGGCGCGGGGGCGGGCGCGGGCAGAGGGGTCTGCGTGGGGCCGCTACCCAGAAGCCACCGGCCGGCGGCAGCCCGGGAGCCCAGCCCGCCCCAACTCAGCGGAGCCGGGAGGCGGGAAAGCTGCGCAGGCCGCGCCCACTGCCCTGCCCCCAGCCCGCCACTCCCAGGCTCCGCGGGCCTCGCTCGGCGCGTCCTCCCGGGATCGGCTTGGAGGGGAGCGGTTGTGCAGGTGAGCGGCTGGGGAGGGGGCCGAGTTGGCTCCGTCTGGAAGGGAAGGGGCTCGGTTCCCGAGCGCAAGGAGCGGAGCGCAGGCTTGTTTGTTCCAGGGGGTGTGTTCGGTCCTCCCACCGGGTCTCCGCCAGGGCAGCGGGAAGCGGCTCCAGGGATGTAAACAAGCAGGTGGGCGTCGAAGACCGAGGGCCCCGGAGGGAGGCAGGCTGTGGCCGTGGGGGTGATGCTGGAGGCTGGGAAAGGATCTCGTTGCTGCCTTAAGCCTGGGGCCAGGGTTCTTAGAAGGAGGGGAAAGGGCTGCGCCCACCCCATATTTAGGGGAGTTTTCCTTTGTTGCTTGGAGGTTGAGGACTTGAGCTGGGCGTAGGGACATGAGGACGGGGATTGTGGCAGGATGTGAGTGTGGACACAAAAGCAATACAAAATGGAACTTGCAGGGTAGGGGTGTGGATTGGGTAGTGGGCAAGGAGAGGGGTGGTAACGAAGGCGCGGGCTTCCAAGGCGTGGGGATTTATGATAGTGTCTGCATCACTTTTTTTTTCCTCCTTCAGTCCTGTGTTTTTCCAGGGGGCTCTGATTTTCCCATTTCCGCCTTTCCCCACCACGGCTGGGCTGGTCCTGGCCAGCCTCCTCCTTTGTGTCCCCTGGGTTTTGGTGGAGCGTTGGAAGAGCAGCTTGGCTTTCCCAGCGCCTGCTCTGGCTCTTACAAGTGGTAGAACAGCCTTGCTGGTAACAGGGCTGCCCAGGCCCTTGCCGGTAACAGGGCTGCCCAGGCCCTTGCCAGCCTCCAGACCTGGAGGGCTGTGACAGCTGGAGGCTTCTCCCCACCGGTATGGCCTCTGTCTCCTGTTCCTTTGTCTCCTTGGCTTCATCCCTGGCTGGGCTGGGCTTTCCAGGTATGCAGATGGATCATGGGCATCCCAGGCCCTCTCTGAGAGGACCCCCCCACTCAGGGGCCCAGCGCCCTCACATTGTGTATGTGTGGATGTGTGTATCTCTTTTGCAACTTGGCCTTTTTTTGCACGTGATCTGCCTGGTAGTTACCATGGAAACGCCTCCAATTCTCAGCCTCCCTCCTTTTCCTGCCCATTCCTCACCTTCATATTGCCTCCCCTCCCCCCAATATGGTTGCCTAGATACTGGTTATCTTTGGCTTCTACGGAGAGGAGACCCTGGATGTCTGGCTCCCACTTCAAAATGACAAGGCCCTTTACCCCCCCCACCCCCTCACACACACTGTACATCACAAGCACCCCAACACGTTACAGTGAACATGCCCTCACACACATGCTCCACACATCCTACTCACCACACACAACATACTTTCATATACACACCGTGCATACACGTATATCATACCATACGGATACTACATACACACCAAATGCACCACATCCGTACCACACCTCAGACCCACGACTTACAAAGCTTCACTTACACCCTGCTCTCATACTGTGTATGTTCACACCCCCCCAACAATAACACATACATCACTCCCGACACATACGCTCGAGCACTCAGGCACGCGCACACACACACACACACACACACACACACACACACTACTTCTAAATAGGCCTCGGGCTGGGTTGAGGCAAAGAAGAGAAAGTGCAGTTTCCTGTCTCATCCAGCCTTGCACTCTATGTTTAAGGGTGTGGAGAGGAAGACCAGAGGCTCAGGAAGCCCAGAAAGGGAATCTTAACCTCTCCTTAGGGATGTCTCAGAAGATGGTGGAAGAAGAGACACTTCCAGATTCCTTTACCACAGGGCCCCTCTCCTAGGCGCCAAATTCCAGAGGCTGAGAGAAGACCAGAATTTAAATCTCCCTATGTTGCAGCTCTCCCTTCTCTGACCCCAGAACTCATTCCTGGTTATATTATAGAAGGCTTTGAGGAGGGAAGGGAGGCCTGCCACCCTGCAGAGATACAGAGTAAGTAGAGAGCACGGGAAGGCAGGTAGGGCAGAAAGGAGGGATCTCAGAAGGAAGAAGAGCCAAGAAAGAAGAAAATAAGGAGGTTGGTTCCTGTCTGGGGTTCAGGGCCTTCTCCCCCAGTCATTTTTTCCTGTGTCCTGCTTGGCCCCTCTGGCCAGACCCATGCACTCAGGAGAGGAGGCAGGCTGGCAAAGGGCTCCTCCATTGCTACTCTCCAAGGCTTGTGGTTTCCATGGTCATCAGATGATACATCTCTGAGGGAAGAGTTTCCTTTCTGGCTTCCATTTGATCTTTGGACTATGGGAGAACCCTTTTAATTCAATCATTCAATAACCCGTGTTAAGTGTCTACTGTGTGTATTAATTGGGGATACCTATAAGGGAGACACAGTCACTGACCTTGGAATCTCAGAGCTAGAAGGAGCTTTGAGGGAGCATTTGGTCAGGACATAAGTGGGGAAACTGAGGTGCAGAGGTCACATGTAATCACTGAGGCCTTCTCACTTCTTAGTCAGGATTTTGGATTCCACAGTGCCTGACCAACATCTCTTGTGTTCTTTTCTCCACTATCATCAATCCTTTGAAGACTGGGATGCCCCTTCCATAGTGAGGACCCCCTAGTGGGTGGGGCTGGTAGACGAGCCCGGTCCATTGTGTTTTCTTGGAAGGTAAAGCTGGAGGGTATGGCAGCAAGAGGTGGGAGAAGGAGCAGTTTCTTAGACCCTGGAAACTCCTCGACAGCCTTCAGGGAGTTAGCCCGCCTAGCTCCCCCCATAAATCAGAGCACACACTCCCCCCACCTTCAGTGCTGTTGGACTTAGTCAAGGACCATCTGTATGGCAGTGTCAGGCAGCCCCTGGGACTCCCCATCTAACAAATCCCCTATTAGCTCTGCCAGAGCAACCCTGGAAGGAGCAAACTAGTCCGAAAGCCACAGGTCCTTGGAGGCCAAGAGCCTAGGGCAGAAAGCCTGGTTCTATCCCAGCTCTGGCCCTGTGCTACTGAGCCTCCCAAGAGCAAATGCACTGCATTCATTCTACAGATGACCTTGGTGTTATAGACTGGGCTTCTGGTGAACTCTAAAAATGGCTGTGACAGCTCTCAAGCAACCTAAAGCCTCTAAGGTCCTAAACCTCTGTTTCTGCATCTGTCAGTAGAAGTTTGGAGTTCTGATTTCCAAGCCATGTCTTCCTCTAAATTTTGTGGATTATGCAATCCTGAGATCCCTTTTCTCTCTAGGCACCAAATTGTACTTATTTCACAATACAAGGCTGCAGCTACTCCTAAGAAAGCTCTCCTTCAGCCCATGGGGCAGGTGGTGTCCGAAGAGCCAACCGGAGACTGGATTTCTTCTCTTGGGCCGAGGAACACACTCCTGCCCACCATAGGCTGGGTGGAGCCTTTAAAGGGTCCTCTGTGGAGAGCAAAGGAGGGCCCCCAAGAGGCTGGACATGACTAGGTCACAGCTGCATGATCAGCAGATCAAATGGAAGGGACTGGGAGGAAGCAAGAGGCCACGAGGGTGCATGAGAGGGACTGAGGCTGGATGAGGTGAGGAAGCGCCCTGGGGAAAAGCCCTTGGTCAGCTGGAGAGATAGCAGGGAGAGTGTGGTCCTGGCTCTGTCCCTGACAGGCTCTCTCTGAAAGCTTGGAACCATTTGGCAGCATCTTATCTGCTCTGAAATGGAGGAAGATGGAGGAGGCTTGGAGGCCACATAGAACACTGTTGTCACAAAGATATGCAGGGAAGAAGGCCCAGGAAGGAGGCAGGAACCCCGTGGGCCAGTCTGGAACTATTGGAAAGTCTCTGCTGCAGCTCAGAATACCTAGTTTGGGTGAAAAGGCCAGAGAAAAGATGAAGGGGTGGGGGTCTAGTTGGAATGACAATGACACCACACAACTGGAGGGCAAAAAGCAGGCCTGTATTAAGAGACCAGAGGCCAAGGTCTGAAATTCAGTCATTCAGTCTTTTAGCAAATGTTTACCAAGTTCCTTCCCTGGACCACACCCTGTGTGCTTCTCTGGACTCTGGAGCTGTGGAGTGATGGTCTCCAGCTCACCGAGGCCCTCCTGCTTTAGAGGATCAGTTGATTTGTCCTGGGCCACCCTCTCGCTGCTTGCCTGCCTACCTTACCTCACTTCCCACCAGGAAGGCCCTGTAACCTGCTTTCTCCCCAGAACAGTCCCCTCACACAAGCACTGGTGCACTCACACTTGCACATATGCTCCCTTCCTTACACAAACATAATCTTCCACGCCTGACATGCAGGCAGGTACTCACGTATCCCTGTACCACCTTACCTCACTCAGCCTTAGTCTCTTGCCCCAACCCTTGGGATGGCCTCTCAACTTGCATCCTCCCCGCCCATGCTGCAGCTGAGGTCTAGTCATGTCCAGCCTCTTGAGGGGCTTCCATTTCTGGTTAATAAGGATGGGCACCATGTCTGCTCTCCAGGCTCCCTGGAATCTGGATGCTGCCACCTCTCCAGGCACCATCTTCAATGCTCCTCTGAAGCTTTGCATTTTCCTGCTCTCTGCCCAGGCCCTGCTAGGGTGTGCTCTTGTTCCTGCCTATGGAACAGGGAGTGGCAGCCTTTATACACGTACAGACTTGGGTTCTAAGCTGGATTCTGGTGCTTTCTAGTTTTCTCAACTTTTCGAAGCCCCTATTGCCTTACCGATCAAATGAGCATGAAGATTGAGTAGGATGACCTCCGTGAAGTGTTAGCACAGTGGCTAAACTGTTAGCACGTAGTAAATACTCACTAGATAATACCTGCTCTAATAGCAATGATAGCCACTCCATCTCACTATTACTAAATGACATCATTGCTGTTATATCATCCTTTGAGGCTCCTGCCAAGTGCTCATTCTTTTGAGTAGCTCTTTCTAATTCCCCATAAACATTGTTTTCCTCCTCCCATACCCCTGAAGGCTCTGTCCCCTCACTGTGCCTACATTTTTCATACTTACAGAGTTGCCTCTTCCCTCCAATCCACTTGGGCACCTGGAGAAAGCCCAAAGAGCACTTAGGAATCAAGTGTATGTGGGAAGAGTCCTCACCCA